TTGTAAAATGAACGCTGTTTCCTCTCACATAGAAACTAGTTTCTATTTCCTTTAAGTGCCTCTTATGCTTAAGAGATGGATTATCAGTAGTTTACCTCTTTAGGTCATGTAAAAGACAGAAGCGTTTCAAAGAAATCACTTGTTTTCACAGTTAAGCTAAAGCTCAGCTGTGTGACTGGCAAGTGGATATCCTGCAATGGGGCAGCATTGCTTGACTGGGCACTCGAGCTCAGCCCTCCAGCCCAGCACAGATTTGGCCAGCTAACTCCAGAGAAGTGTATGATGAACAGCAAGAGTACAGTAAAGCTAAAAATTGGCCATACATGGAAACTAACAGCTTGCCTAAGCCAAAATGTAACATTTAGAAGCAAAAACTGGGCTGAAATGGAGAATGTATGAGGGTAAGGCCAGTCAAGAGTGACCAAAAAGAAACCTAAAAGCAGAAGTCAGAAGGAGAAGCTTGAAATCATTTACACCAGCAAGTGGGACTTAGAGAGTTCATGGGACTTTTTAATCCTCTTTGCTTTAACTAAACTTGTCCAGTGTTGTAATCTTGGAAATTCTCTCACATTTTTTCTCTCTGGTACTCTACCAAGTGGTCACTGGAAAGAATGGGAAACAATGCATGGAAACAGGTTGAATACTAGCAAGTATTCGCAAGTTTCTTCTGTGCACATGAAGAAGTTAGATGAATTACTCATCACAAACCTACAAGAGATCTGGAAAACAGTGAAAAACAGCTGGTGATAGCCAGCTGGGCTACTGTTGCTGCAAAAAAAATGCTCCTCTGTCCTTTTATTGGACAGAGTCAAATGAGGCGATGCTAACCTTAGGACAAAGAGGGTTCTGTATCAAATGATGGGGTTATTCTAATAAGCCCTAAAACTGTAAAGCTCAAAATATACTTTTTGCAATTTCCTGTAATGATAATAATAGAAGAAAAGGAGACTAATTATTAAAGAAGGAAGTATTTCAAGCAGCAATTAGCCATCACGCTCCACATGAAATAGAGCAAAGTATTATACAGGTAAATTAAGATGGTGGGAGATGAAAGAGACAGGTCTGTTACCAACCCTCTCATGATGAAACTGAAAAAACCCAGCAAATTAGGAGGACAGAAGATATGTGAAAAGCTTTCCACTGGGTCAGGACATACCTATTCCTCATGGTATCGTGTTAAATCCAACCAGAGCCTGGACTACACTGCTGTCTACAGGAAACAATGATAGTGAATGCGTAAGAGTGAAGTATTATATTTTTAAAGTGATGTTAAGAATAAGTGGCACCTTTGGCACTACAAATATCAAGTCAGGGTATTCAGAACAATAGAATCATGCAAACTGGAGGGGACCAAAACCTAGTCCAACTCCTGCTCAAAGCAGGATCCTCTACAATAACCATATTCATAGCAAAATGTTTTTAGTTTAGGAAATTCCATGCAGGTGTTTTCTTGGTTTCCTGTGCTCTACAGAAGCAGAATGTAACTCAAGTAATAGAAAAAAAACTTGTCAGATTAATCTTATATTACATACATGTATCTCTATTAATCTTATAATTTCTCTTTTTCCTCTCACTTTAATTGTACACACACCTAAGTCTTGCAGATGCTTTTCCCATTCTTGAAATCAGGTAACTTGCATTGGGCTCAACAAATAAAATCTTAAAGATGAGTAGGCTTGCATAGAAAGAGTGAATCATAGTCAGTGAAATATTCCGTCAAGAGAAAAAAGGATGCCTTGAAGATCAGATTTACTCAGAGGAAGAAAGTAATTGTCCATGGTGGAAAAAAAAAATGAAACGTGAATAATAATCAGACTCCCCTGTTCAGATATCTGCTACTGAATGCAGTAGGCTTTGGTTTTGCAGAGTTTGAGCAAGGCTCTACAGGAGAATGTGAGCATATTGTTGCTTTACATTGTCCTTACACCTCCTATAACCCTAAGCTAGAAGTTTGGATGCCACATTTCTCCCTAGATACACACTGCTCATCCCTTCTCCAAATCAGACACTCATAACTCCCAATCTTATTTCTACTTTTGCCAACTTTACATTAATCTTTACACAAGTTGACAAATAGACCTGGCTTGGAGTGAACCAGAGAGGCAGCATTGATTTTCTTTGCACAGGGATAAAGAGCAGCAGCAGTAGTCCAGAGTCTGGGGCTTACCGATTTAGAAGGCTAGAGAGGACTCTCAGATGACAACTTAGAGGGTCAGGACATAACATTAGTATATTAAAAGCATTATAAATTCAGAATATAAGAACAGCAGGCTGTAAGAACATCACCTAATGCCAGGTGGTCTGCTTGGGAACCACAACTTTTTCCTCCTTTACAGTACAGTAGTCCACCTATTCCTCCTTCCCTTTTGACTGCCTTAAAGTCCAGTAGCACCAGGATCCTAAAAGCAAAGGCTACTACCTACCCCAGAGCCCAGTGGTGTATATCTTCCAAGGGGCTACATACAATCTTTCCACAAACAGGCATTTTTCTTGAATGTACTTTACCTTCCACCTATTCCAAACTTCCTTCAACCTGTAACAAATACAGCCAAAAAAAATAATCTCCTGCATTTATTTCTGTTGGTGTCTGTTACCATCAAAATATCCTTGAGTGCATTCAGTGCAACATTATCAAGAAAAGTAAATCATCTTCTGTTGATCTCTCAACAAGAATGTCAGAAGTAGAATAGGCTGTATAGAGATGAGGCTTAAAAAGACTTCAGGCTCACAGAAGTTTGTTGGATACAAGCCAAGGTAATACATGCAATGTGCCAGAAAACAAGCTTGTGGCCTCTGCAGAGGCCTTATTTCAGAATCCTTTAAGATAGCAAGGCCAAAGCTCACAGTGAAATGAATCTATTTCACCCTACAAACTACACTGTTGTCTAATACTAACATAACTGATCTCCTCTACCCAAATAAAGTACTTGGAAAAAAATTCAAATATTGTGTGACAGCAGCATTACCTGGATGTAAGTGACAAGAATAATATTCCTTATTTACTCAGAAGAATATTTATTGCAAGAAGGTGAAATACAAAGTACATGCAGTATCATGGGATAATCCCTTTCTAGAGGAAGGTCTGAAGCAACACCTGTAACATGTATCGATATGTTTAACAAATCCCAAAGGTGAAGATAATAACTTCATTTTAAATGGAGAACACACATTCCTTGACTGGTAAATGAACTGTCAACAGTCCTGCACTGATAATAGGCATAAACAAACCAACCTTCCTGTTCTTCAGGGGAGCAACTCTAGTCCCTCTTAGACTCACAGAACATAACTGGTGGCTTACTTATACCTGCTTGTAACTGTAAATTCAAGGCATGGCCCCGCTTTTAGCCTGAGGCTACAAAGTACAGAGAGATGTGGTAGGGAATAGGGATTTTCCCTTGATATGACTTGTGTCTGTTACCTTTTACCCTTTTATTGTACCCTCCTGAGAAGAGTTTGGATGCAGCATCTCTATAACCCTCCCAGTAATTTACTGAGGACAGCTACTAACTGAAGAAATACAATGAGACGCTGAGGGGGCTGAACGTCAAAAAACAGCGTGCTAGGTATGAAAACAAATATGGTGCTGATAACATCGCTTCCTTCCTTTTTAGCTTTGTCCCGGGGGTTAAGAGCAGTTAGTAAATACCTCTACCTTGCAAAGGTCAGTGTTTACCTGATATTGTGGCGATAAATGTTTCCTGCAGTACAGCCTATGCAGACACGTTTATGTCACAGCTAATATTCAGAGGATCACTAGTGTCCTGTGGTTAAAAACACCCTGATGCAGACTGTCTGTCCTTGCATCACATGTCTGCAGGCAGCTTTCAGTCTCCCTGAGTCCTTTGTATCACAGTCCACTACAAAACTGTAGATATGTGAGCAAGTTCTCAGTTGCCATAATCATATTCAGCCCTGTACAAGTCATTCATGAGCTACTTATAAGTAATCAAAATCTTATGCATTAGTCAATAAAACAAAATCTTCAAAACTTCCCAGAAAAAAATCCCAACAAACTAGCAGAAACTGGGATGCCCAGGGACCGGATTAAGTACTTGAACCTCTAAATTATCAACCCAGACAGATAAATAGAGGGTAACAATTAATTCTTCATCTTGCTTTGTATCCATGGTTTCTTCTTGCAGTAGAACTCAAGTATGTACACAGAATGCAGACCTCCCTCAAACATGTAATGTCCACGTTGTCTTTACAAACAACAACTCCAACTTAGATCAATCTTTACACATGCCAAATCACTTAAAATTGTGGAGTCATTCCTGAAATACGGCAGGGTGCTTCCAAATAATCTGACTTGGAAAAATTAAACCTAATTAAATAAGTTTTTGCTCCATCAATACCCATGAAAATCACTTTTAAACATTTTCACAGCACATGTGTCTAAGCAAATCAGATTCCTCTATCTAACATAGTATTCTATTTTGAAGAGCAACTGGTGACTTGCAAATAGCTTGTTGCATATAGAACCTTAATACTGGCATATCTTAAAGTACTTTTTTCTAATGTTCCACTGAGCCCATCAAATCAACTGTAAAGTATGAAATTTCAGAACACAGGCACGTAGCAGGTGAATTTTGTCACGATAAAACTGCAGTATTTGCAGCCCATTTGAAAAAACCAAGAAGTACTTCTGATTTGAAAGTACCAATCAGAAAGGTACAAGAATTCAAAGTTCTAGAGGGGATTTTTTTTTTGTAACACAGACAGACACACAAAACAAACCCAAAGTAATTCAGTCTCATCCGGTTTAACCTCAACCACGAGACACCGCTGTCTGTTTTCTTTCTCAAAAGACTCGCGTCACTGTGCACTGAAAAAAGGGAACTTCCACAGTTTGTGGTGAGGATACATGATAAACAGATCTGTTCACACCAACTAGCAGGGCTGCCTGCGTCAATAAAAGGCGGTAGCAGAGTCAGTGAACTGACATTTGGTGCTTGGAGGATTATTGCTGCAAAAGTCACTCTGCATTAAAGTCAAGTAAAATGCCAGGATTTTTTTTCCCCCACAACAACATGACTGAATTAAATGGAAAAGACGACTGCAAGCTTGCAGAAGGCAAAATCCACAAAAAGAAGCAAAAGGCTTTGTAAGTATATACATCTTAGTATAAACTCTAATGTATTAGAAGTGAAAATAGCACTAGAATCTTGGAGATTAAGAATTAGCACCATGTTTTGGGCTAAATAACTGCAAAGCTTGCCCAAAGCCCAGGACTATAGCATCATTAAAAATGGCTTGAGCTGATGCATACCAATTAATTGATTCCCTTAAGTAATCAGGAGTAGATTTTGGATACACTGGGAGCCTCTTAGTCTTTTGAAAAATGTTACTTGGATATGTAACTTCCCAGACTTCAGTCATAGGATAGAGCTGTCAGCCTCTGTTTAAAAGTTTTAAGAGATTTAAGTAGAATTGGAATGCTGCTGCAATTTTAATGGATTACAAAAATGTCTGTTCATTGGTTTCAGTGGTGCAGATCTCAAAAATTATTTGAAGTGCATGGTACCACATATCGAATCTGGGATCAAGACTTCTAACTCCAGAAATGTCACGTAAGTACTGAGTTACACTAAGTTATAACAAAATATAAGTATAGCTAGATTGCGATATAGTAAACTATTTAATTTCTAAACTACTTCTAAAACAACAAATATTATAATGATGCCTAGAATTTCCAAAATTAAAAAGAGGTAAACATTAGGAAGTAGAAACTATTCATGGAGTTAACAGTTTTTTATTAGTGATGTCTATATGTTTGCATCAAACAGTGAAGGAGAAGACACCTCAGTTAAATCTACTTTCTTCAGAGGGACACTGTATCCATTCTCTAAAGATTTACAAGAAATGAGGTCTATAAGCGAAGAGCAGGGGCATTACCATTCCTCTGCCATGAACATGGAAATAGAAATACAGTTACAAAATTATTTGGTCATAGTTGCAGTAAAAGCTCACTTATCTGGGAACAGAATTCAGGATAACGTCATAGTTCCTTGTTTTTCCATCTCTCTGATTATTTTTCTCAATGTGGGCTTGCCTCCAGGGTCTCAGATTATGAGAAAGCCATAAGTTTAATAAATACCTTGTACACATTCCTATAATAGAATAATAAATTACAAAATTTGTCTCCTTTAAACATGCAAGTAAAACCACGTGGTTTCTTGTCTAAAGTCTTTTCTTTTTCTTGTCATCTTAGGCTTTCTGCAGAGGAAGTAATACAGTGGTCCCAGTCTTTGGAAAAGCTCTTGGCCAGCCAAAGTAAGTCTATTACTTCAGTATGACTTTGTTCTTATTCTGAGGACAAAATTGTATCTAATCTCGCCAAATAGGCAAAGCTGTAGCATTCTGCAAACACTGGCAGAGAACGGCCAGTTGCATTTCAGTTATTTACAGCTTCAGTGTTAACACGGCTGCCGTATTCAGCTTTGGTTCCAAGTTTGTTTTTTAACTTCCACTTCCTACTCTCAGTATAGCAAATAAACCCCAAATAGCTCAATTCAGTGCTTTTTGATCAGTCTGCTGACCTTGCATAACATCAGTTGAATATGTAATTCGTTCTCCACTTGTACCCTAAGACAATCCATTCAGGGAGGACTAGAATCTGTTGATGTAGCTTGGCACCCAGGGTCTAGATCTAAAAATACTGAACATAATTAGGGAGACTGCCATCACCCTTAATATTACAGTATCTGTAGTATGTTGAAGAAGGGAAGAAGTGCATTTTGGCAAGATTTTATAGCACAGATTTCAATACAACTCCTGCTATTGATATTACCCTCCCTGGTCACAAATATTGTGCTATAAATGATGATGTATTTGTGGTGGCTTTAGGTGGTCAAGGTGTCTTTCGGGAATTTCTGAAATCAGAGTTCAGTGAGGAAAACATCGAGTTCTGGTTGGCTTGTGAGGATTACAAGAAAACCAAGTCTGATCATTTACACAGCAAAGCAGAGAGGATTTATGAAGAGTTTGTTCAGTCAAATGCTATTAAACAGGTATGTACAAAGTTAAACTGTCTAGTGTTACGGTACAAGGATTCTGGAAAATTAGTAGGTAGAAGTGTAGCTTCACCGAGATGCTCATACATTCATTCAGTTATATAGGAAGAAGACACAGCCGCATGGTTTTATGAGCATACTTGCATCATTACTGTCTTCAGCCATGAGATTATCAGATCTCACAAGTAGAGTCACGCAATACAGGCCAGTGCTTGGGAGCACCACTAGCAGAAGCTCAGCAGAGGCACCAGCAGCTCAGCACACGATGCTGTTCTCTGAGTCAGCCCAGTTTGAATTACTGCTGGTGTTTGGAATCAGATACTTAGAGGGAGCATTGTTAACAGAAGAACCGTGGATTATTTCTTGTCTTTTAAAATATGTGGACATTCTGGAGAATTAGAAGTTGTGTATGTTGATCGTATTTCAAACTGGAGACTCTCATTCTACACAAGATTTCTCCTACTGTTTTAATTGGAGGTCGTTCCTCTGCTTACTCCATTGTTGAGTTTACTTCTGACTCCATAAGAAACTGCATTTCTATAGTGAGCAGCAATTTTTGTGCATGACTGGGATATAAGCATTAAAATTCCCTCATTTTGTAGTTCTGATATTGAACTATCACACTGAGTTCTAAGGCTACAAATTTGTTTATTGACAAAACAAAGTGATGGAAAGAGAGGACATTTTTAAGATGTCAATGGCATTTGTTTTTCACTTTCCAGATCAATATTGACTATCAGATGAGGGAAGCAACAGCCAAAAGAGCTCAAGACCCAACTCACACAAGTTTTGATGAAGCCCAGAAAACCGTGTACATCCTCATGGAGAGGGATTCATATCCCAGATTTTTGAAGTCCAAAGCCTACCTGAACCTTTTGAACCAGCTGCAAAACAACACTTCAAAATGAAGTGTTTGAGGCAGTGAAGAGCCAAGTAGACTGTGTCAAATATCCTGTGGAGAGATACTTCAAGGTGGTTGGATCTTGGCAAGGAGAACCCCTGCCTTGTGAGGAGGGGTATGAGGGAGATGGAAACAGCTCAACAGCCAAGAGAACACAGGATAAGAGCTGGCAAGACTGTTACAAGGGTGAGAGCAACACAGGGAGAAAATCCTCTCCCATATGCCATGGAGTCAAGGCAGGATATGGATACTATTTATTGTTTGAACTACACTGTGAACATTGAACCAAGTCTTAGATCCCAAAGAACTGCTGTTTATTAGGAAGTGCAAGACTAGCAAGCTGAGCATTGGGAAAAGATTATCAAGTTCAGAAGAAAAATAAGGATGACTGACAATTTTGTGCATAACAAGAAAGTGACCAGACAAGACTGATTAATGGCTTTTTTTAATCTGTGAAGTGTTAATATGTGTGAGTGCAGCTCCGTGATACTATTGTGCTATGTAAATATATTCTAAATTGACATGTCTTAAGACTGATATATTTTAAATTATATATGAGTTACATAAGCTGAATGTATTGGAGTTGCATGACAAGGTTTCAGTAGTGGAGGGGGCTACAGGGGTGGCTTCTCTGAGAAGCTGCTAGAAGCTTCCCCTATGTCCGATAGAGCCAATGCCAGCCAGCTCCAAGACGGACCCACCGCTGGCCAAGGTCAAGCCTGTCAGCAATGGTGGTAGTGTCTCTGGGATAACATATTTAAGATGGGGAAACAAAAAAAACAAACAAACAAAAAAAAAATAATGGGACACAAACTGCAGCTGGAGTGAGGAGTGAGAATATGCGAGAGGAACAACTCTGCAGGCACCAAGGTCAGTGAAAGAGGGGGAGGAGGTGCTCCAGGCACTGGAGCAGAGATTCCCCTGCAGCACCCCTGCAGTGTTGAAGACCATGGTGAGGCAGGCTGTCCCCCTGCAGCCCATGGAGGTCCATGGCAGAGCAGATATCCACCTGTACTTTTACTAAGTTTGTATTCAACAGGCAGGTATGTAGCATCTTTTCTGTTTAATTTATTGCAAAATAATAAGCAACTCTCAAATCAAATCTTTTTAAAAATAAAGTTTTATAGTAATTTTACATCTGAAGTGATCTTTCCATTGTAATTACTGAAGTATTGAAACACATGGTTCCCTTCTGTCTCACTATGCCACTACTTCCCATCTCCTTATCCAAAAATTAATTTTCCCCACTCCACCTTTTCTCTTTTTTTACCCATTTTACACAACCATAATCTTAGTTATCTGGAGTAGGTGATCCTGACCTACATAGACCCATCCTCGCAACCCCCATAAAGAAAACAAAACAAACAAACAAAACAAAAAAAGAGAAGCAGGTCTAAATTTCCATCCTACTTTTCATACTCCTCCAGCTACCAGCACCTGAGTCAAATCTCAAATATAGAAACCATTTAATCACTGACCCCACAGTTCAATCCGCTTTGATACTGATGATGTGTTGAGCACAGCAAATCACCCACACTTACTTACGTAGAGAGGCAGCAACTGGTGAGACTCACTAGTAGTCACATTCCTTGTGACATTAGTACTACTCAACCTAATCTTGGCAAGATCCAGACTCTAACTTACAATACCAATACTAGCATCACAGATCATTTAATTTCACTGCAAATGTTGCATTAAATTTACTCTGTAAAGTGTGCAATGTTATGAGTAGCCTATACCACAGCGGGTAGTGATGAGAACTAAAATAAAAGAAGAAAAGTTGCAATTATGCTTGAACAATGTAACTACAAACATGGGCACTACCAAATCTGAAGTATTTAAGATCTTGTGACATTAGAGCTCATAATGAAAATAAATCAAAGCGTGCCCTGGTCATTGTGAGTTACCATCATGAGACACAGCTATCACATGGATGGGAGTACAAGATTTTTTATCTCACCCTTGCAGATTTTCCATTTTCCAAAATAACATGAGCTTAGTCAGGCACACTCCACTATTCCGTACCAAATGGAGAAGCTGTAAACCCACAGATGTCACTTCATGGGGAGAGCAGACCGTGTTCATACTGCCACCCTTTGGGGACCTTGGGACCTCCAAGGGAGGACAAAATCTTCAGCCTTATGAGCAAAACTCTGCTGGAAGGAACATAGCTAAGTGGCAGTTGCTGCCAACTTCCACCATCACCTACTATTGTAGCTGGAAGCCTCTACAAATCACATCTTCCTACTTTCAAGACTAGTAAATGCAGAACAAAAGAATCTGGTCTTGCAGTATTTTTTTCCTTTCATTAAATATGTATACCTGAGGAAGCCTCTGCAAAATCTGAATGCTCCTGAAACAATATAAACCAGTCTCCAGTTGGGTCTCTCTTACATGAATTAATTTTCCAGGATCAGTAGGAATAAGTCTAATTCCTGTGAAATAGGAATAACAACTATGCCTCCCACACAAGAGGCATCCTCATGTTTGTTCTGTCACAGTTAACATGGATCAGATGTCAGTGTTTGCATAGCTTCAACTTCACAGAATACAAAGAGAACTATGAAATATCAGCTATGCTCTAAACAGACACTGCCTTCAAGTAACATTATTCTTTTCACTGTAAATCCCTTAAGTTAGTATGGGCCCAGTCTTCATTTACTGCAGTTTCACAATTTTGCCATGATTTAGCCAAACACCTGTATGAAATTTATGACTAAAATGATATTTCACAGTATGGCTAGTTAGGAATTTTTATTTTTCTTTTAATGGCTTGTTGCTGCCAGAGAAGACTGTTTGTCAGAAGCTATTTCATCTACTGTTGTGGAGACTGCTGGGTGGGGTAATGGGTGTATACACGTTTCCAACTCAACATAGGTCTCAGGGGTGGGTATAATGAAAAGCAGAACGCAGACTCTAGAGTCATGCCATGGTTTTGGGCGCTGCAGCAGCCACTGCTCACTTCAAGACATGGCCAACATCGCTGCCTGTGCCCACTGCCCTGTGACTTTACATCGGGTGGAGCAAATCTTTTCACTAAAGACTGAGTGCAACCACCACAGCTGCTCAGGTATTCACAGACGCTGCCTGGCACCCTGCACCCTGACCTCCTGCAAAGAGTCACTGCTTCCGCACTAACAGGAAAGGGTGAGACAGGACACTATAACATGATGGTTAGACTCCTCTAAAAATAAGCTAAACCTACCCATAGAAGAGACTAACACAGCTCTCAGGGAGCACACCAACCACTTGTTTTATGCAGAGTTAGTACAGACCAGAATATTCGAGGAGGGAAGAGGAAGGGACTTTTCACTCTTTTCCACAAGCATATCTCCCTGGTTGGTGATTTGGTAGTGTGAGAATAGACAGTTGGGTGGGTTTTGGTTTTGGGGTTTTTTTTTTGGTTTTTTTTCCAAAAAGGAACTTACAACCCAACCTTGGTACATTTCTAAGTCTTTCACCTCATTTGCAGTAGGAACCCAAAGACAACAACAAAGGTCAGTCACCCAGGTTGTTAATTCCAGGGATATGCCAGCCCACTCCAGTGTCCCTGGCAACATGACCATGTTTTACCAAGCAATAAACAGTGCAGCAGAAATTCAGAGCTGTCTCTGGGATACTGTTGTAAGCCTGGTATTACAAATCTGTTGCTATAGCAGGGCTATACAAAGCTGGTTGTTTAAACAAGGTCCAAGAGATCTGGAAGTATTTTATGGCAGTTTATAGTGCCATCCATACTAGTCTACTTTCTAAAAGGAAGAAGCTATAAGTAATAGTTCAATGGTACAACTGAAACAATTTTTCCAGTATTTTAAGACACTTAGCAATATTTACATGCTTTAAAATATCCCAGAGATACGTATTTTTATTATTTCTTAAAAATCTCTTTTTCAAAATGCAGTATACAATGCTTATTTTGCAGTGAATTCTTTTTAAAAAATATTGCCTAAATGAAGGTTCTTTGGACTCAGAAAAACAGCAGAACATACAGATCAAAACGATTAAGGACTCTATTTTCTGTGACCCTTGGTTCATTTACAAGGTCCATGTACCGTATCACATTCATTTGTGATCTCCTACTCACCTCCTCTTCCTCCCTCAGTATTGCAGATTGGTTTCACAGCTGTGGGTTGTGCCCCGCCCAGCATGGCAGACTCTTCCAAAACGGGACATGTTACGCATCAAACACGGAAAGCGTGCCTCCCTGGAAACTTCCCATGCTCAAAGGAGAAACTTGTGAATGCCAGCTCTATTTACTGTCTTGTAAATAAAGTAGTGGGCAATTGGGGGAAACTGTCTTTTTTCAGCATAAGCTAGACAGTTATCAGTTAACTGCTAAAACTTTCCAGAACAATCAGGCTCTGACTGTCATCCAACACCTACTAAAATATTTACTATGTATGTCAAACAGCTTATTTGTTTTGTTTTTTTTTTTTTTTAAACTACATTTAGCTTTCCCTTTTTGGAAAAAATATACCATAAGAGAATGGAAATTTGCTGTTCTATTCATAGTCTCTAAAACGGTTGAATTGGATTGGCCATCAGCTACAGATCAGTGTAGGAAAACAGGATGCAGTACATGGAGCAGCTTTAAGATTTGCCAGTAGTGACTCAGACTTCTCTTTAAGTGTTCTACCCTACCCCTGAAGGAAACATTTTTATTGTGTGTCAGTGTTTCAGTATAAAAATCAATCATTGTACCATCTTTGGGTACAGTTCAGAAGTGAATTAACTCCTCCCTGCTGCAGAGACAAGTTTTCTTTATAGGAAGACTCAAGAGTCCAGCAGGCCCTGAATGTGAATGTAGAAGACTAACCTCTCCAATTCAGAAAGGCTTCTCTAAATGTATTCCCTAAAATAAGATATTTTTAATATTATCCCAAATAGAAAAGATATTTTTAATATTATCCCAAATAGAACTAAAAATATGGTATAACATAGTATCATTGTCTCCCATATATTGAAAAGGCCATGCATGAAAGCCTGTAGTAGAGACATCCTATCATT